GCCACTATAATAGATAACATGTTTTTTCTTTTGACATTAAAAAAGTATGAAGGTTTAATAAAATGGTGTCCTATAGTTATATTGCCCTGCCAAAACCAGTTTTTTCACACTCAATTAATTTATTTTATTGATTTTTTTTTTTTTTTGTAGTAGCAGAAAGCTTTTATTGCTCTCAATCCAGCTACCAAAAACTTAACATTTTTGTTAAGACTTTGTAAAAATACAGCTTAATTTTATTATAAAAATACATTTCCTAAGAGTTTTGTGGTCATTTTTAAAGAGCTGCCATGTTGTATCTGTTTTTAAGTTTTAAAACTAAAAAAAGAACATTACACAAAGAGGACTGATACATTTCCTTCTACTTGTGGGAAATATTTGAAACAAGAACAGTTTCCAGTGATACTTGTGTCATTCTGTTCTGGAAATTTAATGCAGGATTTATTTAATGGAAAAAATGAAAAAGGACTGCTAAATCTGCTTTTGTATTTCTATTATTTTTTATGTTGGTTCTGCACTTTCTGAATCCAAATTATTAAGAGCCACTTGCAGATTGCAGACCTCTGGCCTATACAGTCAGTAAATGATAATATGCGTCCCGATGTGTCTCGTTTGTCAGATTAAAAGTGCCCTTTGAAAATAAGAACCTTTAAGCAGACATTAAACATGCTTTTCATTAAGTCTACAGTTCTGTTTTTTATTGGTCTGATGTAACAGTAAGTGCAAAGCCATCTGCGTCTGTTTCGCTTAACGATAAAGTTCCTATACTAAATGGGTTTTTCAATAATATTATAGTTTATTGAATGGGTCTGTATACTGGTTACTGGTCAGAAGGGAATGAATACAGATTCATGTCTCAGGTTTTTCAATCCACATTTTTCTTTCGGTTGCTCTTACGAGAATGCACTTCTCTGTGTTCTGTTACACAAAATCTCATTAAAATACCTCAATGTTTGAGAACAAGGCAATGAAATGAGTAAAATACGGCCTGTTTGTTTAAGTTATCCAATGTGGGAGGTTAACTGAGATACATTATCATCCATCATGTGTGGTTTTGGCTTCACGTAGCTTTATGTGCTCAGATGTTAATGTCTGCATATTCACTTTCTGACTTTGTCCAGCGGTTTGTCTGGGTCTGTCACTTTCCAGGGAAGGTGTTGTTCTTTCCCCGGAAAAGTGAATGAATTGAAAATGTGTGACTAGTTAGCAACATGCCCTCACTTGTCCACGAAATCCTGCGTGGAGGATTCATCTTTATGGGAAGTTTAAGTCGTTTTGAAATCAACTTCTCAGCAGGTTTTATCAGCAAATTGTTAACAAACTAGTTAGCAGTTGTGAAGTTTACAAACTGAAGATTGTTTTTGTGTTTCTGGCAGCTTGTCGGAGTTCCTAGCCAAATCTGATGAGTACGTGTACAAAATGGGTGACAGTCTTCTGGATGCGATGACCAATGGAGAGCATTCAAGATGTCTAAAGGAAACCGAGCCTGTAAGCAGCCATTATTATCACATCCTATTACCAGCTCCCTAACCCACAGAATTGAGGGCAATGTTGCTTTTCTGTTGCTCGTATTTGTCCAGCAGCCAGAGGAGCCAGGAAGCAGACAGGAGAAGAAGAGTGGCGTGGAGGTGAGAGTCTGTCTTTAATCTGGAGCCGCTTCTGTGCACTGTGTTTTTAACACAGCAGGAGAAATGGAAATGGACATTAAGTGTAGAATGACACGAATGTAACACAAAACCGGAACCACTCATCCTCATCTGCTCCTGCTGGGCTGCTGCTCGGCGGAAAGCCCGTCACGTGTGTCTGCATTACACCCCATATGAGGAGCCTTCATTTGATTTGTGTTATAGATGGCCTCCGCTGATGGTTTCTGCACCAACCAGCTGTGTCAACACAGCAGGGGCCCGCCGTTAACTGCCATCCATCCACACATGGAAAGAACATTTCCCTTCAAGAGCTCCTCGCTCGCAGTCCGCAGTTAGAGAAATCGGAGGGGGTTGTGTTTTCCTTCAGCACATTCGGCCCCGCTGGCTGCAGAGCTCAATCGCTCCTAAGAGCAGCAGAGGAAACCGAAGCTCTGGCCCCAGTGTCAGACACAGAGCCACTCTCTGTACTGTCTGTTTGCTGTTCTTGGCTGCTCTCCAGGTTACACTCATCCCCTTCTCGGTCGTTGTAGCTTTTGATTAGGTTTGATTTTTATTGGATCAGAGAAGAAGCATCTCCATTAAAAAAAACAAAAAAAAAAAAAACAGAGACTTAAAAAAGCCTTGATGTTCTCTTGGCACATCACCTGTTCAGGGAGGAATGCATTTTCTAATCTGACTTTCCCCCTCTGTCTGTCCCAGGTAGCCGAGGACAACTCATCCGCCAAGCTGGACGTCCCTCGTTCTGCTGAAAGCCTGGATGTGGCTGAGGAACTCTCTGGGGGTAAAGTCCTCAGTTCTTTGTTTATAGAAGCAACAGAATACATTTGGAACAAGAAAATTAACTCCTGGTACAACAAAGTATAACTGTGGTAGGGAAGCGAACAATCGACTTACGATTCATTGTTGGTTAATGATTTATTAGATTAAAATTACCTCCAATCATTAACTATTAATTCCTCTTAGACTGCTGTTGTAGTTTGACCTCCAACCAGAAGAGGACGCTGCTGGTTGTCCTTAGGCAGAGCCAGTTGATACAGAAAACAAAGATGGCAGCTTTTCCCAAAACGGGAAAGAGAAGTAGTTCAAACAGTCTGGTGTGTGATGCAAAATACACTTTATAGCAGTTCTGTTTGGAAATATATACACCTGACAAGTTCCTTAAGTTTTCATCTTAATGGGGCTCAGTCAGTTGAGCTGCATAACCGAGCAGTGTCAACTTCTCAATAAAAAATTACTGGTGCACTATGAAGGCAAGATATGATGACAGAAAAGCGTAGGGCGAAAGAGAGAAAAATTGTAACATGGAATAAAAAACATGATGCCAATCAGCATGGTTGATTTTGAGGGCAGTCAACAGGATGAACTCATGTTGATCATAATATTTGAAACTGGATGTATCCTTTTGTTATTTCATAATAATCTGCTACTTAGTGTATGTCTACCGCATAAAATCCTTATAATATACACTGAAAATTGTGGCTTTGAATCGAGAAATTGTTTGTAGAGTAAGAAAACTTTTGCCAGACGCTGCATATTTCTCATAAAAACCAAAAGGCCACTCAAAAAGTGCAGCTTCAACTTAATGCAAATAACACTGATGCAATTACTGTAAATGAATTATAATGAATAAATGTGGCACCAATAGACTTTTCTTCACTCTGTCATACATTTACTTCTATCTCAGACTGTTAGTTTTTGACCGGGATGCTGTCAGGATTCAGAATGAAAGGATTCATTGTGTTATGTAAATGTAACCCGTTTCTGCGGGGGTTACCCAAACGTAACAGAAGGAGCCGAGAGGAAGTGCTAACAGAGTCTCCGCGCTGACCCTCCTCTATCTGTTACAGACGCCCTGCACTTCCAGCAGAAGTTGGACGAAACTACAAAGTTGCTGCGTAACTTGCAGGAAGTACAGAGGGAGCGCCTAAGTGCCAAGCAGCCGCCTAACATGATCTGCCTGCTGGCCCCGACTGCCAAGGAGCTGGAGCTGGGTAAGAGCCTCTCGCTGCATGGGCCCCTTTGTTCCCGCACTCGGGTCTCACCACCAGCTGTAGACCTCCAACAACCCTCCATTTACCTCGTCAGTATTCATCCAACACAGGTGTGGTTAGACAGTGGTCTGATTCAAGTCACTGGGGCCCCCAGTTCCCAGGGATATGAGGCATTTTCCTTTGATGTGCTGCTTTCTGTGTGAGCGAATAGTGTGACCTTTTTATTAGAAATCATTTATAACTAAAAATCCCTTGGCTTTAGGTTTAAATAACTTCAAAAATAAACAGTATGAATTCCCTTTATTTCCTCTGCTTTGTGATTGGCTCATAATCTTCTGCTGTCTTACTTCTTATGCTTCCCACACAGCTGAGAAAGTTACAGGAAACCTGACAGAGCTGACAGGTCAAGTGGCCCCATGTGACGTCAGCAGCATCTACGGCATCAGGAAGGCCATGGGCATCACCGTCCCCCCAGAGCTGCCTGAACCCCTCATAGACCTCACAACAGGTAAACTGTCTTAACTCACCCGAACTGTAGCCGAGGTTTATCCTACAGCCTGGAACTGGAAGGAATGTGCTTCAGTGTGGAAAAAAAAGTAAATAGATCTTGGAAAAGTATGTTTATTTTACTTGATTTCTATTTTCTAAAAGTTGTGTTTCTTTCTTGTGTACTTTTGTTTTTTTTTTTAGGTTTTTTTCTTTTCTCATTTCTCTCGTCATTCCTTTGTGTCCTTCCTTTTAATTTTCCTTTTCCTCACTGTTCTGCTTTTATTAGTTTGAACACTGCAGCCATTAACACTCGAGTTCCTTCCCTTGTTGCCACTTTACATCTGCATACTTTGTACTATTTCACTCATTCAACTTTTACCATATTCCGCTCATTCAGAACATTACAGCTGTCTTTTGGTATTGACATCTCCTACGTTTTATGGAATATTCAGCTTTTTTGCAGTCATGTTGGGCCCCATTGAAGTGAATGGAACATCTTATAATTTCTGAAAAACTGCTGAAACCTTGGGGCTCTTACTGACTGCTTCCACGTGATTTTCACATAAAAAATTGTAGACAGATTGTTTATGGTGCACTATGTCCTATATTAAAGAAAAACCACACATAATGGTTTTCTTTCTGCTTTCAGTTCATGAGACGAGTGAACCGATGGAGACCTCATCCACCTGTCCAGACATGGGCCACCTTGTCGCAGTGAAATGACATTCCAGCCAGCCTCATTAAGTTTATTAACCTAAGTTTTGTACAAACGGTGCTTTTTTTTTTTGTCTGACTATTGTGTGCATTTCAATCAATAAACCTTTTTTTTCTTATTTAAGCCTTGTCTAAAATTTTTCCAATTCTAAATGTCAAACAACAGACTTACGAAAACATTTATTACATTCTGTAACTGTACAAAAAGTCAATGTCACATTTGTTCACAGAAAGGCCAGCACAACATTATGCAACAGCAATTACAGACGAGATGTTGGTCTCAGATGACAAGGCCACGAGACGGATTCAGAGGAGCCGACAGTGTTATGGTTGCCAAGAAAAAAAAAATAAAAATCAGCAGGCAGGTTGTTAAATCACACAGCTGAGGACATGCATAACATTTCCCACCTGTCGCAGCACACATGGAAATCAAAAGGCAGCAGAATAGTTTTTTCTTTTCCTTTATCAAAGTGGAATAAACAAAAATAATGGAATACATTCAGCACAGTTCTTGTTGAATCTGTAAATTGCTGGAGTGGTCAAACTGCACAGCTGGAACCAAGGAATGTGAGCATAAGGAGTTCTACCTGAACGTACACAGCGTTGTGTCTTCTGTCTGTAACGGGGTGAAGATGTAGCTTTTTACCAGGCAGGAAAGCTGCCATTACCTGAATATGCAAGAAACAGTTTTCATTTCAAACAGCTCAACCTGAATACCTGACATGTGTCATGTCTATCATGTAGAATAATCAATCACTTTTTAAGTAGGTGAATTTCAGAATTTTAATTTCTTGACTTGGATTTTTAATTTCTGCAAATTCTCAACAAAAGTTATTTTGGGGCACAAATGTGACCCTAATTAGATAATAAACCTAATTATCTCCAATAAAGCATAATTTTATATAATGCTTTTTTTTTATTAAAGTCAACATCTAAAAGATCTGCAAGAATAAAATAGAAATAATACATAACTTCATTTTCATCACATTAGGTTAGAAACAAACAAAAAAAAATTTACATGACATCACTGTTTTCTTTATTGTGAATAGAAAAAGATGGCGGCCGTTGTCGGCAGCCGTCTCTGTCGTCTTCTAACTCTTAACTAAATGGTCCCACGTGTGTCTTCCACACAACGAAGCAGTGACGTTTTCTTTCTTCCTTTCAACGGCATCACAGGAACGCACATTACAGCCAGGCTGACACCTGTGATGTGCAGGAGTCCGTAAACTCTGTAACACAAGTCTGTATCCAGTTCTGCTGGCTGTGACGGCCCGGCCTCAACTCAGCCCGATGCCTAGCTGTTTGCTCGTGTCAGTGCACACAAAGAAGGTTTTCAGCTCCCCTTTCCCCTTGACGTTGATGAATCCTCGACACTCACAAGAGTAACCCAGCTTCCTCAGCACTTGAGAGGATTCTTCTGTTACCTAAAAGGAGCAAAAAGTCACAGCTGAAGCTGAGAGAGGCATTTGTATGCAGACCAAATGTTCGATTAGACATGATTCCGATTTAAATCTACGTTCATTTAAAAACGTTCACACAACCACAGTCTTTAGCGTGTGGTTTTTCTTCATGTGTTATTTAAAAGACCACAATTTTATTTCTATTTTTGCATAAACAATACATACATTTTCTTCTATAGGGAATTTACATTACCACAGTTTCCAACTCGGTGACAAATAAATTTGATGTATTTTTAGTCTCATTCTCTTGTGGAAATTCTATGCAATTACTAAAACCAGCATTTTTTCTACATGTAAAAACAGTAGTTGTAGTTAAGCCAAAGTTATTTAGAGTCATACTGGAAGGTCCAGAGAGCCACTTGCTGCTCCAGAGCCACAGACTTCAGACCCCTTAACGTGGTTGTTGAACAATATGCCAGGTTTTAAAAAATAAACTGGACATGAAGTTAAAATAAAGACTAGGAGAGCATTAACCAGAGAAGCAACCATGAGAGCCATGTCAACTCTGGAGGAACTGAAAAGACCCAGAGCTGATGTGGGAGAATCTGTTTACCGGGAAGTTACGAGTTGGTCGCTCCGGGAATCTGGGCTTTATGAAAGAGGCATGAAAACACAAAAACGAGCAAAGCCATACTGAAACCAACCTGGATCTTCCCCATGTCTCCAGTGCTCTCCATTCTGCTGGCTACATTCACTGTGTTGCCCCAGATGTCATACTGAGGTTTCCTCGCCCCGATCACTCCAGCAATCACTGGGCCATGATTAATTCCTTAGAGAGGGGGGGGGGGGGAAGAAAAAAAAAAGATTTGTTTTATTTCCGTATCTTATCACATTACAAGTAGGAAAAGAAAGTCACAAGGGAAGAATGCAAACACAAAATTGTTCCTTCATTACCAGAGGTGTGTTGTGCTGCAGGTTCGTTTTTAATCGTGATAACTAGAAAGATTTCCTTCATCAGAACAAATTGATCTAGTGCAGTCTTTTATTCAGATACTATCTTTTGAGGAGTCTGTAGCTCCCAGCAGCTAACCCAGGCAAACTGCTGTTTAAAAACTATGCATGCATGAATCTGCATTTATGTACATAGCTTGAAACAGGACTGATATAATGCGATAAAAAAAAAGGAATGAAAACTTTTATGACTTACAGACACAATTTTCCACAGAAATTAAATTAACCCATTTTGGATATTAGATTCACTATATAATTTAAAGCCCTCTAAAGTAATTTAGAGCTACTCCAACGTAATCATGAAACACAGTCACAGGTGGTGGGTTTTTATTTTTGGCGAATTCTTTGAGGCCTGGACTAAAACGGGCCACGTTCCAACTTTCCCCTCTAACAGTTGAAGGATAAGATCTACAGGATGGAGCCTTGGTGTTTACATTTTTCTTTTGTTAATGACTCGTTATTAAAATCCACAATTATAACAAACTTCACAGAGAAGGTCTTTTTATCTTTCATCTTTATGGAGCTGTTGTACAGACCTGGACTCAAGCTCCAGCATTTATCCCAGATTGTTTCTCTCTATCCCATTGTAAACATGTTTTATTCAACCCACTGGATTTCTGATTCTAAATCCTGATAATTTAGGACAATTAAAAATATTTTAGTTTCATTTTTTCACCTTTCTCTAATGATTGCCTCATCTTCTGACATATTCCATAATTTCCTCTAGAAAACTTGTATTGGCCTTAAATCCAAAGGCCCATTCTAACAAAAGTCAGAGTTCTGACTCTGGTTTCTAGTTACAAATGTGCATCTATCCCCTCATCTGTCCTCCCTGAATGATACCCCTATATTTTCAATTAAGATCTATACATGAAGAAATGGCACAACAGATGTTTTCCCCACCTTTATTTCACCTGTTAAATAATGTTAATATTTCTATAAACTTAAGACAAATTAATCTGATTAGAGTCATCTCTCTAGACAGTAGAGAGCATGGAGTCTTAATGTCATAATGTGTCTTTTCTTGCACTTCACCCTTAAAAGCAACATTGCCCAGGTCAGGGCTGATAGTTATCTGTGTGTGAGCTGTGAATCTCTGCAGCTCCTCTAGTGCAACCACGGCCATCTTGGCCCAGACACAGGCTTGCACTTCTGCTTCACTTCTTTCCATTTTTGGGTGATAATTTGAATTGCCAAGCTAGTGATCTCGTGTTCAAGTCAAACTCTGCTTCAAACTTTTCCACAACGCTCTCCCTGACCTGTCCGCTGTGACCCATGACCTTCACGGTGGTGTTGCTCACTGATGTTCTCTATCACACATCTGTGGCAATTCGTGTACGGTACTTTATTTAGGGGTCTCAGAGTAAAGACAGCTGAATACAAATACACGCCGCAATTATTGATTTTGAAATTTTACAAAAAAAATTGAAAATTAAGTATGTACTCCCTCCAGTGCGTGATTCAATTTATTGTGTTGGCCTTTCATATAAAATCCCAGCGGAGTAAATTTGTGATTCATGGCTTTAACATGAAGAAATGTGGAGAGGTTAGTCCCAGTAACACGATGCTGGAAAAGCAGGTCCATTGTGATAAGCAGTCTGTAAAATAATAACCTATCGATCAGACTGTAAAAGCAGGACATAAACGCCAATCATGTGTAGAGTAACTAAGGAGACCGGCCAGGTCATGGTGTAGCTGCATACAGTCAATAGAGGTTTCGGCTGCCCAGCTGCTGTGCACACTCACCCACTCGAAGCCTGAAGGTGTTGAAGGAATGTCTGTTGATTACGTCCAACTTGCCAATCATGGCAATGGCGAACTCCACCATGATTCCTATCTGGGCCTGTTGCTTCTCTATGTCCTGAAAACACGCAGGAGGATCAGCTCAATACCCACAACATTTCAAGCACGAGCAGAGCCTGCTTTGAAACAGCTCGTCTGACCCCTGCCTGACCCGGAGCTGAAGCGCTACTCAAGCCCACCTGATGATTCGGCCCACTAAGCCCCGCCGTCGCCATGTAGGTGCTGCCAATTGTCTTGATCTTCTCCACACCACTGAACTTTGGTTTGGAGAGCAGCTGGAGGATTACAGGAAAACAAGTGAGAAATGTTCACCTTTAATCATGTTTTTGTTTTTCTCCCCCTGCATATATCAAAGGTCTAGATAATTAGCACGTCAAGGAAGATGTGATGGATGGTGATAGTAACAGGAAAGCATGTCTTTTCTATTTTTATTCTCCTGACCTCATCAAAATCGGCGACGATCTCATTGAGCAGCCTGAGGCATTCCAAGCCCTCCTTGTTAATATCGCACTCGGTGTAAAACTCTTTGAAATTCGGCACAGAGGCAAACATCACGCAGACGCAGTCATAAGACTTGTAGTACAGGTCCTGTTAAAAAAAAAAAAAAAAAAAAAAAAAAAAGATTGGTTTTTTTTTCAGTCTCATCATTTTGCTAAAAAAAACTTTAGGATAATTCATTGTTATGAGCTAAATCCTATTAATATACAGGTGTGTAATATGAAGCTTATGTCGTAGTGATTTATTACAAACTGTGATGTATTTGACATTAATTCCAGTTAACTACATTGATAAAACTCAGAAATAAGCCATCTGTGAAAATTTGACCATCACATATGGCCAACAAAAGGACTTTAACACAGAAATGTCATTTTATGGCCAAATATTGTGTTCACAGTTCTCTATTAGACATTTATTAACATCTTCCACAAGGAGGGTAACCGATACAAAAGGTTTTATCCAATCATATTAATGGAAAGTTGAGTGGAAGCAAAAAAGATATAAAAGTAAAGATTGACAAGTAACAGGGATAGCCACAGCAAATTAACGAGTTAAGCATCTTCTGAAGCAGAAGCAACGGTCAAAGCACCCCAACTCAGTGGTCCAACGTCCTCTTCTCAGACCAAAGTAAACTTTTCATTTAATTATGAGATAAATTAAGACACAAGAGGCACAACATCCTAGTTGCTTTGGGATGTTGGAGAGACGTTTCCAATCTGTGATGATTTGAGGAGCCGTGTTATCTGCTGATGCATGACCACGTCCAATACCAATACAGATAGATCCCTTGGGTAGATCAAACTTCCCTCTCCTGATGCTGATTTGTTTCCAGTTGGTCTTGGAACCTGCTCACTCTGCCAAAACTATCCATTCCTGCTTTAATGACCATTGTGTCATGGTGATTTACTAGCCAACAAACACGCATGAGCGCTCCACAGAATCTAAGCGGTGTAGTTCAAGAGGAAGAAGAGAGACGCCGGACCCAACGACGGAGCAGAAGCTACTCTGGCTTCAGGCTCAGATTTTCTGAGAAAGCAGCATTAATATCAGCAGTAACGCGAAAACCCCATGAGCTGGATGAGTAGAGCTGTATGTTTCACTGAGGACATTGAATCGATGAATGTAAAGTAGGTTTAATCTGCCTAAAGCCAAACAGGAACTACTGGATTCTTGTCATCTTCAAATATAAAAACACTAAAATACAATCTGCAGAATCAGAAACCTCTGAATTCAGAGTTTCGGAATGACTTGTATTACGGCGTTTCACTGGTAGTATTTTTCTTCCTCTGCATCAATTATCATCTAGTGCCTAGCAACCAGATGGCTTAACCTGAAGGATTCAGCTGAAATGCCTTGAAAAAAAAAATCTCACCTCGTTCTTCTTGTTCTCACCGACAAACAGTGCTGCCACGTGGGCAGGCAGCACGTTTTCCAGCAGCAGACGGTTCAGGTTCTCCCTCGTCTCAATCTCGTCCTGCTCCGTGCGGTTCTTGTACTTGAGCTGGAAGTCCTGCCGAAAGCAGTTGTCGTTCTAGGAGGCAGACCCGCAGTGATGTTACAAAATGCAGCAGTAGTGTGGGTGTTAATGCGTTCGGTTTTCTTCTGCCGGAACTGCTGGGGATACAAGAGGAAGGCGACGAAAGCAGAAAAATATCCTACCTGGAGCGATATAATGAGCATGGTGACTAGAAACAGTATGATGTCGATGCCGCTCATAATCTGGAGGTCTTTGACAAAGCCAGTGCAATCCACTGAGTTTGTGTTATTTGTGTTGTTTGTCATCCTGCAGAACAAAAATGGCAAATCTTCATTCAGGAATACATTCAGGAATAAATTGTTCAGAATGACATTATGAGTATTTTTTCAGAACAGTTTAACACAAACTGTAAAATTTACAAGCTTTAAGAAAACAAACATGGTTTAAAGCCAGATGAAATGTAATCTTACGAGTCAAAAACTTTGTCCATCTCTGTTAGCAAAGTAAAAGGAAACGTCTCTGACAGTCTTACTCCAATAAAATATGCTTCATAATTTTTGACCTACTCGCTGCAGTTAAATCCGTTGTAGTATCGGGAGGAGGTTTCAAACTTCATGAAGCGGTTCTCAAGAAGGCTGAAGATGATGTAGTGGTACAAGATGGATGCAACAAGGAGGAAGAGCACTTTGAGCTCTAAGCTCACTCGCAGAAAGACTCCGCATGCAATGAGCGACAGGCTCCAGCAGCACACAGAGTACTGAGGGACAGAGAGGACAAAGGGGACATACATCATACAGGCAATACAAGTCTAGCACAAAAAATATCGGTCATGTTTAAATGCAAACAACTAAAACAATTATCTAGAAAATAATTTACATGTCCAATACAGGAAACTTTCATTTAATCCTGCAAACCTTTATCATAAATAAAGTAATAATTCCAGTGCCTTGCAAAAATACTTAGACTCCTTGGACTTTTTGTCTGTTACAACTACAAACTTTAATGTATTTAAGTAGGATTTGACTTGACAGACCAACACAAAGCTGTGAATAATTTGGGTTGTGAAGGGAGCATCCCAATCAGCAGGGATGAGGAAACTGGTCAGACTTGATGGATGCAAGTAAACGCATGGCAATCCTGACAGAAAACCTGTTGGAGTCTGCAAAAGGCTCGAGACCGATTATTTATACTTCACATCTAATCTTTTTAAGGTTGAGCTATTTGGCAAAAACAAAAAACGAGCAACAAATATAGTCTCTACACACACTCAAATGTCTTGCAGCTGGAGCTGCAGTGAAAGGTAGGTAGAACCAGGGGTCAGAATAAAAATGCACACCACACTTTTCTGTCGAAACCATAGGTCATTTTCTTTTCCCTTCGAGAAATATGAACCACTTCGTGTTGGTCTGTTAAACAAAAACTAGTTGGAAAAGTTCAAGGCGGTTAAACACTTGGGCGCGACACTGAATATCTGGGATGAGTTGCGTTTCCCCAAGTTTATGTATCGACACAGTAACACTCCATGGGACTAACTAAAACACAAATTATAGTTAACAAATCCTCCACTCACAGGCAGTGAGAAGTCATCAGTCTCTACGCCATCAGTTTCCATGTCCTTATGGAAAAGGAAGCACTGCTAAGAGATGAAATAAGAATTTAAATTTGACTGACAAGCCAACCTGATTTGACTCGGAGCCCAAATTGTGAACATTGTCCTACCAGGTTAAACAGCGCCGCGATAATGATGACCGCAGTGGTAATGGTCGCCAGAGGGAGGCGCAGACACGGCCGCTTCACCACCGCCTCCGATACAGCTGGCAGCCACCGACACCCTGACAGCTTGTGTGGAAACACGCGCTGCAGAGGATAAGGAGAAGTGAGAAGAAAAGATGAGAGGAAAAGGTGGATTCAGACATGTGAAAGGAGCATGTGACTCCTTGCCCAGTCAGCCGTCTCCAGACATCATGTGTCAGTGACTTGCAGATGATTTGATTCAGAAGAATTTGTTTTTGGGGAGAAAAGTGCGATGAACTGACCGTCAGATTTCATCTTCCTTGTCAAAAAGGAAGCTGCAACAATTCAAACATTACTTTGAAGGGCATGTTTAGGTACTAATAGTTCAACTTAAGTTAATTCTAAATATATATATAGAACTTCTATTTCACAATCTTTACTGTCTTTAAACTTGCCTGTTTTATAGTTGTTGTTTTGTCTGTGAATTATAACAGGAAGTGGGGGGGTTTTATAGTTAGCCAACACTTCTGCAGTTTAAAAGACAAAAAAAACTAATAACTTCATGTTTTGATCATTTCTATTCAGTTTACATCAAACTATATTAATGCAGTTTTATGAATAGGTAATAAAACATTCAAATTTGATTGAAGATTAACAATTTAACTTTTATCTAAATATTTTGTGTCTGGAGTTCATAGAAATTACTTTATGAATTAAAATTCTGAGTTCTGATTGATAACATTAGTCACATATTTAGAGAAACTGAACAAACAAACAGGCAATCTGCACATTGTAAGCTTTAATTTTTTTTTTGGAAATATTGGTGACATTTTGCTAAGTTTATGTTTTTTTACTCTTTACCCACATTGCCAACATGTTCAGTGTCACTTGCTAACTTTCTATATACTAAAGAAAGTTGGAGACAGAATGCTGTTATTGCAGATAAAATATTATCTCCAGACTGAAATTGTTCAAGATTACTAATGTTAACTATGGATTAACTGAGGATTATTTAAAAGCATTTAGTAATTTCTGAATTTGTTAAATAATTCATTTAAGAGCTAATTCAACACATTTAAGCAGACCTTCATCTTTCAGCTCTTTGTGTCACAAAAATCAGTAATGAACTAAAAAACGCTTGATCTGGTCAGTCTAACAGGTTTATTGAGGATATTTTTAAGGACATTAGTGAAAGCAGTTGAATATGTCCAAATGCACTCGACATCCTTAAACTTTAATGTTCTCTTTTCAGTATTGAGCAAGGCTTGTGATTTTAAATTTCATCTGCACTCCGCTTCTGGAAGATAATTGCTAGAAAGCAAAAGACGGGGGGTGGGGGGGGAGAATGCTGACGCAGATGCATTCCCACTAAAATTATTTTTTAATCAAGTCTTCACTGTTACTGTATAAGATTCTCTTGTATGACATTAGCACAAAAACAGAGCAGGAATCTGGAAAAGATTTGACATTAAATTTTCCTATTAATTTAAAAGGATATCGAGTGGTCAAGAGCAAAACACTTCAGTCATGCACATGTACTGCAGAAATGGGCCAGGTCACAATGAAACAAAACACCCAAATTACATCTCATTACATTATCCATCTAGGTGGTAGCAAGCAATGCACAGGTCTTTTCCATTTTCTTCGAGCCCAGATTCTAACATGGCCTGAAAATGTGTACATTAAAAGATTAGTCATAGTAAAGGTTAATCATACTGACCTGCAAATGACCCACATAACAGATAGCCAAAATCACCACCAGAATAGAAACCAACACTCCAAAGTATGTCCACCCATGATTCCTTTTGATAGAGACAAAATCAGTTAGAATTTTTTTTTTTTTTTTCATCCAGAGGTTTAATTTTATGGTTTTCTTCAAAACAATAACAACTGACTAAATCCCCGAAAAGCACAAGAAAACAAAAGCCTTGTGTTGTTCTTTCAGAGTTTAGCACAATGAGGGTAGAACAGACTTTTAGTGAAAATGGAAATATGGTTTTACTTACTCCTTTGTGACAAGCATTTGAATTACAAAGATACAGAGGAAGATGAAGGTTGCACATCCCACATAGTGCTTGAACATCGGCAAATCCAAGAATCGGTACTAAGGAGAGGAAAAGAGGAAAATGCTGCTCAGTTTTCAGGTTTACATACACATTTGAATGAGGCTTTGGGGTTTTTAACGATGCATTTGGATTCTTTTCATCGGAGGAATGATTATGCACCCTCAGTTTAA